CTCAGGGGCCATGTAAGGAAGACGAAAGGCACTTGAATCTCAAAGACGAGAATTTCCCAGGACCAAAAGTGCAAAGATGGCATTGATTCTGCTACAGCGTTGTCAAGATTAGCATTCTGAGTCGCCTGGGGGAAAATGAATCCATTTTCCCTGGATCCATTTTAATTCATTTGCCAAAGAAAAGGCAAAGCAGAAATTTGTGGAACTTTCACCTTTGTGTCAATGCACTGTCACTAAGAGCTACTAAGGAACATATTCCCCCTCTGGGCCCTCAGATGTCGCATAGCTTTTCACAGACAGCGGAAAGAGGAGCAATGGCTCCAGCTGCCATCATCCTAGAACTTTGCTAAAAGTCAGATTCAGATCTTTTCGTTAGCTGAAAAAGCTGTGGTTTTGAATCAGTTATATAGCTGTTCAGATGACGAGAGAGGATTTTATATCATTTGTATCAGTAAAAACATAGTGTTTAGCACAAGTAAAACACTGTCAGGATCCCCAGAATTCACTTCTTTTTCATTTATACTGCCTCATGGGCTTTCTCCATAGCAAGAATATTAATTGAGCACTTTTGTTTCAGTGGGAACTCATGGAACTAAATGTATGCTTTTCACGAAGTCAGTTTTCTTAATTATTACCTGAGATGCCTGTTTTGACTCAAATTTCGATTCTTCCTTAGAGGATACTGAAAAGAGCTAATCCACTCTGAATATTTTCCCTCCTAGATTATTTCTGCTGCTTAGCATTGGAAACTTATCCTTCATTAGGGAATGATCTGGAAGCTGGTGAAGTCAACGAAGCACTTAATTTTTTTTTTTTTTTCCTTCAGATTTCAGTCAGCACTGCATTGGAATTAGAAGCAAATTGGCTATATAAGTTTGTCTGAAACTGGTGAAACTGCTCCTGTTCTGCGGCTTAGCCGTAAATGTGATGACATTTCACATTTTCCATGCAAAAGTAGGAGAAGTATCTTCAAATTGCATAAATATCTTCCTTTTCTCTTCCTGTCAAGCCAGAGAAGATTAATTTTTAAAGTAAAATCTGTAGGGGGCATTTATGGAGAAAGCGTGACTGCTCAGATTACTCTTCTAGGCAGGAGTTCCTTCAGGCAGCCTTGGTTTTGGCATTCCAGTTCTCAAAAAAAGTTTAAGACATGAACTTCTACGTCGAAAAACATTAGAATAAATTACCTTGAAGGTCTGGAAGAAGCTGTTATTTTTTAAGATATTGGATTATAGATAATGAAAATGAATAGATTCATTAAAATATTTCCATGCTATTTTTTGTAATGGTGATCTCATCCTATAACTTTCGTTTCTTTGTACCTTGCTGTTTTCTAATTTTAAAGAATAAGGATTAGAAAGCTATACATATTCTCTTTATGCCCACACATTAAATTTATTTCTCTCTGCATTTAGAAATATATTTCTAAACATAGAAATGTCAATATTGTGCTGAGTCAGATCTTTTGAATATATTCATGAATTGTAGAATCATAGAATCATTTCAGTTAGAAGGATCCCTTTAAGGTCACCTAGTCCAACTCCCTGCAATGAGCAAGGACAGCTACAGCTACATCTAGGTGTTCAGAGCCCAGCCAGCCTGACCTTGAGTGCCTCCAGGGATGGGGCATCCATCACCTCTCTAGGCAACCTTTGCCAGTGCTTCCCCAGCCTTATAAAACACTTCTTCCTTATATCCAAACTAAACCTCTCCTCTTTTAGTTTGAAACCATTTCCCCTTGTTCTACCACCGCAGACCCTGCTAAAGATTCTGTCCCATTCTTTCTTATAGCCTCCCTTTAGATACTGAAAGGAAATGTGACTTCAGGTGATGCAGAACCCTGATGCTGAGATTAGGATACTACTTCAGCACAGTGAGAGTCCTTTGCAGGAAACACCAATGTCTGCAATCGCACAGATTACTTCCACATTCCTCCAGAATGTTTTCAGTAACATCACTTATTTAAGGCTGTAAGTTTTGGCTGCTGCCTCACCTTTGCTCAGCAGCTCCTGGGCCACCAATATCAATAACAGGTTTGAAGAAAGATGAAGGGCTCTGGCAGTTCAGCCTGCAGTAGCTAAATATAATTTTCCCATCAGTTCTTTCCTGTTGCCTATTTCCTACAGCATCTCATGCTGGGGAAGAAGTGAAGCAGGGCGAGAAAGTCACAGTGCCTGTGGAGGAGTGGGGTTGGCCTTTACTCCTCTATTCTGCAGCAGGAGAAAAAAATCTGTCCCCAGAGGCATCATATATCCCTGGATTTCCCCCCCAACAGTTATAAATTGTCAGTAACTCATGTGAGACTCTAAAAGCTTCTATTGCTATAACACCTATGACCTATGATTCAGAGCATCATAAGTGATGGCTCTGAAGCCTGAAAAAAACATGGAGAAAAAGTACAGAGAAGCAAAAAGAGATCTCTCATATTGCACATTTTTGACACTTTCCTTCTATGGCAATGAGATTTTTCTTAAAGATTTTTTTTTTATTGATTTGGCTTTATCATAGTGCATGACAGCATCTATCCAGTAGGAGATGACTTAATCTTTTTCCTCAAGTACTGAACCAGTCAAGTCCAGCCAGTCACAACAGCATGCCAAAGAGCTGACCTGATGCTACAGTCTTGAAGACCTGCTTTAAAGACATGTTTTCTTGATAAATTAGAAGTCATTATCATTGTTTTACAGCTAAATGTGAGTAGTTTAAATGTCTCAGGGATTCATTTTGTCTTACTAGCTAGAATTTTGTCCTGCAGCTTTGCCAATGCATTTGCACACTCTTCAGAATTAATCCTGGATCTCCTTCCTTCCATCCTACTGTATTTTCTACTTCACAGACTTTTTGTTTGGGACTTATTTTCTAAGCCATTCTTTTTCCTCTTACATTAGTGACTTGAAATGGAACTACTCTGTTATTTTAATCTACTACTTCTCTGAGTGTGAGATGACTGCTTTCTTCAGTCCTTACTTCTCTGGTAAATCTACTCAGCATTCATTTAGGAAAGCTGTGTCCTTCTGCAAGGCAACCTACCATTGTTATTTGACTTTTTATCTGAAGGCAGTTTTGCAGCCAGTTTAAATCTTCTTGGTGCCAGTCATGCTCTTTGAGGGAAAGTTCTCTGATACCAGCCTGCTATCAATTCCCCTCTGAGTGAGATGGTTCAGAGGAACATTGCGCAGCACACCAAAGAACTCTTCTGTATCATGATGAGTGTTATCAGCATACCTCAAACTTGATCAGCAGAATGTATTTTAGCAAACTATTTAGTTGATGCTTATAGCCATGTGCTGCAAAGTCCACATCTGGATTCACAGTCTCAAAGACATGAAGCAAGCTATTGCAATTCAGTCACAAGTGCAAGTGATGGGGATGTTTACAGATGAGTAGGGTAAGGGTAATGTACACAACTTTGGCTTTCTGTCATAAATTTACATAACTGCTTGGGAATCAGCGTGTCAAGACCCCTAGATTCCCTCCCTAGTTATAAGAGGTACAGCTGGTGGAAGCTGCTCAGGTTGGACTCAGCCTTGCATGACTTGTGGAATATGTCACATTCTAGCTGCATTTTTGAGACATTCGTTGACATCATCCCAGGGACATCAGCATTTCTTTTACTGTAGGATTGATACAAAATTAGGCAAAGTAGACCAGATCAGCAGAAGATTGCTTTTGACCATCTTGTTCTTGACAGAGCAGTGGAACAGTGGAAGAGCTGGGCCCTGGTGAGAACAGCTCTATTGCAAATGAAGAAAAGAGCATAGGAAATGATAGTAGCACATTTAGCTTTATTGGAATTGAACAAATACCTTTTATTTTTCTTAATAAACCCTTTTACAGCAAGTGTAAAATTTTAATGTTTGATTCATTTTATGTTACAGGTTGTCTTCTTCTGTGTAAGCAAAAATACCATCTTTTTTTTTTTTTTTTTTTAAGTTTTATTTTCTACTTTAAAACATGTAGCAAGGATTTGAATAATGCAGATCCGGCACCAAAAGGTAACAGGTTCTGAAAATCACAGTACAGTTTTAAAATTCTTAGGTTAATTATGATATTTAAAATGATAGCCACTTTGAATAAAGATATAAATTAGAAGTCTGTAAACAAGTTGTGTTTACCTATAGAGCTATTGATCGCAGCTACAATGAGAGCAATAATAGAAACTCAATGCTAAACTGAGCTACACCTTTGAGGAACCAAGTTCTTACTACGTAGTGTGGTACAGGGTAGCACAATAGGTAAAATACAATTTGGCACCTCAAGTTGCATGTAAAATTAGCAGAAATAAAATGAATTAAGTGCACTGTTTTCCAGCAAAAATAAACCGGGCAGTTTCACTGGTTTTGGAGTGTCAACTATCAAATAAATTACACAACACACAAGTTCAACCCCAAAATTACGATTCTAGTAAAGCAAGATAATATTAAAATGCACACCCACAAGGATAGTAAAGTATAAATCTGTTTGTTTTTGTTTTTCCTCTCCTTTGTCAGTAGAAATAATTTACAACCCACAAAAGGACTCCTTGGTGAAACCACTAACTACAGACATGGTCATGGAATGTAGCTCAGTAGACTTGTTTCAAATAGAAAGGCAACATTATCCTGAAAAAGTTTGGTCCTCTTATAACTCACTGCACTGTAGCCACCACAGTCTCTTGGTAGATGTTTTAGGAGCACTGTTTGTTTTCTGATTCTCTTTTGTTTCAAGCAATAATACCTTGGTGATAAAGTTGAGTAAAATTTGGCCCCTTTTACAGATGTCTGGTCAATGCTGAATCTGGCAGAAGAACACTGACAGTATATAAGGGGAACTCTTACTGACTCGTCTCAGGTATATTGTTTCATGCAATCACTTTTCCTTCTATAATTCTTTTCCTTTTTCATTTTCTCTTCAGAGTCCTGAGGGGAAAAAGAAACCCTTTATCCAAATAACAGAGAGACATTTCATTGCTTATTTACATGTGGTTCACTTTGGCTGACAAATCCTGGCACACCAGTTTCCTACTTCTTGTGAATGTCCTCATGACGTATAATTTTGTATGTAATCCAGTAAAAGATGTTGAAAATGAGGAAGGCGAGTGGGAATGCAGCACGGGATATTGTATCAATCCTTTTTGCACGGTCAACAAACTTCTTTTTGATGGAATCTGAATCCTTTGGTGGTGCTGGAGGTGGGTTTGGTGGAGTAGCCTTGACTGCTGCGCCGTCTTTGACTTGGAGACAGTGACCCATGCCATAGCCACTGAAATTGAATCGACTGTCACGAGCAACCTCATCTTCCTGGGAGAGAAAGAAGACAAATGAGAGACACAATCACCTGTCTGTCAAGCATGCCATGCACTTGAGAAGTTCAGATGCACCCCTCCAAAGCACCTAAGTAAAACAGCTGATTAATACAAAATACAGGTTTAAAAGACAAGTAATTAAAGCTCAAGCAATAAGGCAAGGAAATAAGGAGACTGCCAATGTTTGTGAACCTGAGCTTTTCTCTGTGACCAAGCCAACCAAGTCAAGTAGCCAGTTGTATCTCAGCCCCATGACTTCACAGATTCCTCATTTCCTTGGACTTGCTGCAGCAAGCAGACCTAGTTATGTTGGCAGCAGGGTGTCTGCTCTGGCAGTGTTGATTTGAATGGTCTGGGCATCCAGGGGCCAAAGCTCATGGAAGAGAATATCTTTGGCCAGTCTAACTGCAGTCTTGCACTTCCATTCCAGATCTACAAAACAAGGATTGATCACATCGTCCCCCATGCTCATAGGAATGCTCTGAGAATCAATACTTTAAAGGACACTGAATGCTTGGATATAGAGGTAACAGGAAGTTAGGTGCAACACTGCAAGCTAACATAGAGCCACCTTGCAGAACTCCTTTATTTCTCTTGTCTAAATAGGTAATAATTGGTTTTAGAAAGATGAGTATCTAGCACTTAACTTCATCATCATGACTGTGTGATGAAAAGTCTGAGGCTGTTTATGCTGGTAAAATCTCACAGCCACATCTCCTGTCTGATGACACAGTAATACAGGAGTCAACAGTCACTTGAAGCCCTCCATAAAGGAAACAAAACCGGTTTTAATCTTTTTTATTTTGGCATCCAGCAGCATGCCCTAAACACTTTCTCCTTCACTGACAAATACTTCATTGTTGAATTTAAATGACCTCTTCTTGAGATCACAAGCAGCTCACTCACTTGGAATACTCCCTCATATTTCTCACTAACCCACAACCTTCTGATCGTAACAGAGAATAAGAGAGTGCAAGAAAAAAACATCAGAGCTGCAATATACTGAATAAAGAGCATGTTTACTGAATTTGGGATAGGGATTCACAACAATTTACTCCAAACCAGGATGTAAATAATTGCTCCTTCATAGCAGCACTGCTTTCAATAATTTCATTTATCTCTCTTCTTGTCTATAGCACTGGATTTAGCTATATCATCAGGTTTGCTCTCCTTACCTCAGAGCTAACATGCAAATGAGAATAACCAGAGGTGAGATCCAAAAATATCAAATGAGGATATTTTTCAATTCACTTTGAGGTGAATTGAGTGCTTATGGAAGGAGAATAAGCAATAAACAGTGCTTTTGAGACCTTGTCACTTCAGGCTGAAGACTATTCTACAATTTACCCATGAACAGGTGCATTACTGTAAGGCTGTTTGAGCACCTATCCAGGATTCATATCTCTTTCATCTCCGAAGACCACCATCATTAAGAAAAAGAAGTTTAGATTTCTCCTATTTCAATTTTATCTATATACAGTTTGCAGTTCCTCTGTGAAAAACCCCAAATTCTGCTTGTCTAGATGCTTATAAATATATAGACTATTCTAAAGATAAAGCCACTGATACCTAAGTTCTGGATAGATTTATGCAAGACTTCTCTTGCATCATTCAACAACACCACAATGTCCTCCAAAAATAAAGGGAGCTGCCTTCACTGCACTTCCCCTTTTTACTGAATTTGAAGGGTAAAATGCACACCCAGGAGATGAAAGGTGATTAAAAAGATAACAGATTTTGAGCAGCTGTGTTACCATATGTACTTTATTCACCTTTTTTAAAGTTTAATTTCTGTTACTAGTGAGGGACCTATGGAGGGAAGCAAAATATACTGAACCTCATGCAGGATTTGGAAAGCCAGACTTCCATGCCTGCTGAACCACAGCTTTATTTTGAGGGGCTGAGCAGTTCATCTTCAATATTACAGCCCTATTTTTGAGCTTACATTATTGTAACCCTAGTGAGAAGTCATCTAAGATTAGGGAAAATTACCTTCAAATTGTATGCTACCAGTTCTTCAGCATAAAACCTTTAGTAGTAAAAAGCCATCTGTTTCCCAACAGTATTCAGAGCCTTACATTTCCTCCCAGCAGACGGTTGACTGTATCAGTTCTGTCTCTTAAAATCCAGAGGAAAGTTTCCCCATGCTACCTTTCTATTTAGGGCTTTCATAGATGCCAATTTACATTGGATACAAGAGGTACAGTATTCTTCTGGGATATGAGGAGTGTGTGCTCAGCTGCTTTTTCTGCTTGAGCAGATTTCAATTTCCTTCTCCCTGATGAAAGTTTGAATCAGCTTGTACCTACTCTCCCAACATGCTGGTGTTTGCTGGTTGCAAAAAGTGTGCATATCAGTAGCTTTTATGTTTACCAGAAAAATTCATTACAAAGCCTAAATAACTAATGAAGGAAATAGTCCTGAGTTTCCACTCGGCTACTTTTTTCCAACAGAAAATTGGTACTAGTAGCACCTAGACTCCTCTTGAGCAGGGGGTTGGATGAGAAGATCTCCAGATGTCCCTTCCAACCTCAAACATGCTGTGATTCTGTGATTTATGTCCTTCTGTAAGCAAGTAAAACCACAGCCCTTACAAAGCACAGCTGGTGGCCCTCAGCTCCATCCCCATCTCATGGTTTTCAACAGTAATGCCCTCCAGGTGTTGAAGTGGCTTTGCAGTCTGACACTTGTTAGCCCTCTAAGCATTGCTAGCATCTGCATTCTCACTGACAATGCCTGACACCATCAGGGCTCTCCCATCTGACCAGGCATAACCTGAAAGACCTCAATGTAGTGAGGAGGATATGTTTCCAGTACTATTGGAGTGAGATGTATGTTCTGTCGGTCCCCTAAGCCCTTGAACCTGCTCCACCCAAAACAAAGCAGGAAGGAGTGAAAGACTTCCTCTCTGCTGCTCAAAGAAAGAGAGATTGAATAAACCCTAGCACTGGAACCTCAGGGTCCATGCTGCTTACAGGTTTTCTCACTCTGGTGTGGACAAAATGGGCAACTTTTCTCCAAAATATAACTTCTCCATTGAAACCTAGCACTACGTACTGTGGTCATTAGCCATGTGGTCATACCTCATGGCCCCAGGAACAATTAAATACCCAATGTGGTTTATTTTAGCAATACAAATATGGTTAAAGAGAGTATACTTAAAGCACTTTTTATTACTGCAAAGCTATAATATGACATTTCCGAGTATCTTCCAATATTCTGTCATACATAAAAGATTTTTGGGAGGAGTCACGGAAATGGGATACCAAGTTTAGTTTCTTTGACAAAGAGAACCTTTTTTTTTTCATGTTTTAGTGTGTGAGATGAAGAATTGACCTCAGGCACTTTCCCTTAACAGCCTTCTTTTGCCTGGAGGCTTGGGGAACTACTGGGCATACTACCTCAGGTACTTTATAACATGGATACAGAATTGCTCTTCATTCCCAAGATCATATTCAGTTTCCACGGTCTCAAATACCCCACTGTGTAGTCTCATCTGAAGACAGTCTTCTGTTTGTATTTTTCACTGGGTTAGTCACTGGTAAAAGTGCAAACCTCATTGCAAACATTTCTATCTTTGTTTTCATCAGTTGACACACATACAACATTCATTTTAAACAAAACAGGATCTTGCTTGCTTCAATTCTGGGTTATTTGTGTTTTTACAGATTTTGAAACTGAAATCAAAGAGTGGTTAGAAGCCACTGAAACCAGAGTGGCAGAATCCCAGCTATTAAATTGACTTACTTAATCCTTCTAAAGGAATGTGAAATAGTCTTGCATAATACATATCCACAACTCAATCTGCCCTTGAAAAAAGACCTGGGGAAAAGAGTCACAAGTTGGATGAAAAACAATAAATAAATAAATAGTAAAATGAAAAGGTTCTTTTACTATTTTTCTCTCAGATGTTCACATTCCTGAGTATATTATAATTATCTTCTGAAAAGCTAATAACATTTCCTGGGAACAGGGCAAATGCTTCCTACAAACACATTTTCAACACCACCTAGTTTCCTAAATAGAGTTATGTGTGTTATCTTATGGTGTTATACTGAACATATTTAGATGTTGCCTGTAAACAATTTTCCTCAAGATAGAATTTTTTTTTTTTCCCAAATTGTTAATTTCCTTTTATAAATTTAATCGTTTTCATTTGCTCTGCAATGTGATGGCACTAGATTCTTTTGCCTTGGCTTTACAATTGACAACATATAAATCTAGGGTTTGATATGGTTTTCCTATTCATCTTCCATTTTTGTAAATCTTTAATTTCTACTCCATCATGACCAGAGTGTAATTCATACCATCAAATTCAGGCCAAAGCAATCAAGAATGGGAAAAACAGTTTAGACAATCAGCCAATTCCCTGCCTTGCATGCATCACTTTCTCTACAATGTTCTTTGTCCAGACCACTTTTAAATATTGTTAGCACTGACTCATTTTAACAATGAGGAAAATGAGAGAGAAGCTGGCTTCAAACAGTGTATTTAACTTTCTGATGTGATTTATTCTTTTAATTTTGCTACTCTTTTTGCAACATATGGTGGGCAAACAATTTAAATGACTATCTAGTTTAATCAAATTTCAAGGACTCAGAAGATTAATTTTAGGTGTAGGATAGAAAACATCAGGGAAAATTTCCTTTTGGCATTCATAAGCACAAAGTTAGAAAACCACAATAAATTTAGACTTGAACACAAAATGGAATCAACAGAAATCAGACAGCAACATAACTTTGGAGAATTTGTTCCTAGATAATCTTTATGATTTTCTAACACCTCTCATCTCTCAGCACCTTACAAAATTCATAGGATGGTTTCGCAAAGACAGTCTTGCTTACATGAATTCAGTTCTCAGGAGTCAGTGAGTATGTGGAGGAAAGTAGTTCAAATGAGAAGCATGGCTGGGTTTTCAAATCCTTGTTGGTTATCACATAAGACTCCAACAAAACTAAGTTGTCAGGAGACAAGAAGGAAGGTCCTTTGATGGAT